ACTACAGCAAACAACTGATTACAAAACACAGACAAGTTTGCATGTCCTTGAATTGAACAAGGGATGTAAAATATGTATATTGCTGAATTTGCATTTATCATGAATTTGTCCAGAGATGACAACTTGCCATGGATTTCATTACACGAAGGATCACTCTTCAACACAAGCTCTTACAATACAGCTTCAAGTCAAGTTTCATTCCGATTCCTACCTGACCTTCAGTTAGTGTGAACAATCACATCCTCATTCCTGTATATTTAAATATACTACCCATCAAAAGATAAGACTCACTTCAAGCACTCACTATATGTTATGTACATATGTGGTTACACTGAAGATTAACTTTGGGGGAACCAACTGCAAACTTTATGCAGTAATGAATTGCATGAGGATCATGCATCAAATTGCGGAACAGCATGTGCAGTTATCTTGCATGTGAACAGCTGCGTTTTGGTGTAAAGTTTTGTTAAGAATTCGCCAATTTTCACTGAGTTTCATTATTTACTGAACTCATGACAATAATCTTTTCAACGTTACCAAATTGTTTTACAATACATCGGTTCATATGTAAACTGACTGACTGACTGACTGAGTTTGGTTTTACGCCGCTTTTAGCAATATTCCAGCAACATCATGGCGGGGGACACAAGAAATGGGCTTCACTCATTGTACACATGTGGGGATTCAAACCCGGGTCTTTGGCGTGACGAGCCAACGCTTTAACCACTAGACTACCCCACCGCCCCTCATGTGTAAACAGTACTTTTAAACAGTATGGAATATTTTGCAAAACCTAGTTTAGAACATTTAGAACAGTGGCTACATTTGCCTATGAAGTACTGACTGACTGACTGAGTTTGGTTTTACACCGCTTTTTTATTCCAGCAACATCATGGCGGGGGACACAAGAAATGGGCTTCACTGATTGTACACATGTGGGGATTCAAACCCGGTCTTTGGCGTGACGAGCCAGCTCTAAACTAGACTACCCCACGCCCCTTGATGGGGAATATTTTGCAAAACCTATTTAGAACATTGCCTAGTATACGGTTTACACGAAGTGAGTCTAAACTTTGATGGGTAGTATACTGTGACAAACACTGTGACATCACATAGGACACAGATTCAGGTTTTGGAGGAATGTGTCCAGGATTCAAAACTCCACTTGAAGTTCAATTGTGATTTTTTTCAAAACTGGAGTTCTCTTGCTTTTCAATTTAGAGATTTAACAAGATCATATATTTCCATAATTTGTACTGCTAAAATGTGAAATTAAGGACTAAAGGAAAGCAAGTTTGATGGATGTTAACTTCTTTATTGTGAATAACCGACGACATTTGGTTTATGGGTAGTGAATATTTCGAGTGACCACATGAACACTTAGCTGTTTCATATATGTTCATAAAGAAGTTGACATCCATAAATCTTACTTTCCTCATGCTTCCTTGCAAAGATTTGAAGAATCAAAGGGTTTTCCCCGTTTACTGGGGTTTTTATGACTGAAACTCTCACCACATCAACCAATATGTCACAATAGTTATAACTATATCAACATAAATTAGGAAATATAAATTCAATTGGAAGCTTTGATAAACATTTGCTGTAGACCCAGGTCAAATATTGTCTCTTGATCCAGTCTCTACTTCAGCAAGAGTACTGTTTGTCAACAAGGGGATGGAGATGTATATATCGGAGTATGCAGTTGCTTGTGAATATCAACAACAATGGATACAGCCTGATGCATATGCTACATATTTACATAGGTGTTAGATGACTGCATATAAGACCAGCAATTGTATTGGCATTCATGGCATTTTTGTTGAAAGCAGATTACTAAGACGAGTTAATAGTGCTGTTACACCTGTCCACCCAACCATGTGTAACAAATGAAATGACAGAAAAATCAACTGATCATATTTTAATGTAAATATAAAGGCCATAACATATTGTTGTGGATATGTGTGTGAGTGTGTGCCCATGTGTGGTGTGTGTATTAGTATGGACAGAAGCTGTTTTATACTCTGAGGCCACAAGAATATCTCTGAGTAGGGGGACCTGTGAAGATCCGGGCTAGAATTGGTCTTCAATAACCAATGCTTGTCGTAAGGGGCGACTAACAGGATCGGGTAGTCAGGCTCGCTGGCTGGGTTGACATGTCATAGTATCCCAATTGTGTAGATCAATGCTCATGCTGTTGATCACTGGATTGTCTGGTCCAGACTTGATTATTTACAGACCTCCGCTATATAGCTGGAATATTGCTGAGTGCGGCATTAAACAACAAACCAACATCTGAGTAAGGGTGTGCATGTGTGTGAGAGTAATGTGCGTGTAATCGTATAGACAAGTGTTTTTTTACAAGGAGGTTTCACCAAATCTTCAAGTGATTTTGCATACGATTCTCTCAGGTCTTTCCTTCTCTATGTCTCACAACACTGTTGTATCAACCAGGATGATTGGTTTACTTAGGCTTACCTCACAGCATTTTGTTTTCATGGCAGTTGGTAAGATAATACATATACTTGTCAGATCAAAACTTTGTAAGTATTAGGTATTTGAACATGTCAATGTCTTTATTATGAGGAACGTTTTGGAGTATATACTTACTTCTTTAACAGGTAAATGAACGCTTTGAGTGAGAGAGTGAGTGATTACGCCTCTTTTAGCAATATTCCAGCAAGATCAGAGAGGGACACCAGAAATGGGCTTCACACATTGTACCCATGTGGGGAATCGAACCCGAGGGCCTTTGGCATGGCGAATGAATGCTTTAACCACGAGACTACCCCACCACCCCTTATGCTATGAGGCACCTATCAGAGCCTGTCAAGTGTTAGCTTCCCTTGTTCAGCCTTCACCTTCGTTGTATTGCTACTTTTGTTGTTCTTACATGTACATATATATAAGCTCTCTGCCTCATAGCGTTCATTCACCTGATGAAGGAGCAAGAATATACTTCGAAACGTTGTGTTTCTCATAATAAAGCAGTTGACATTCATAAAAATCATTTCCTCCGTAAACATTTTCTTATGAAAAATTCAACACAAAATTACATTATGCAACAACACATAAATATTGACATGAAAATCACACAGAATTACATCATGCGACAATATATAAATAGTGATGTAAAAAATCAATACGGAATTAAAATATGAATCAGTTGTATTGTACATGCCAAGTTCTCCCATAAATGTCAGTACCATGCCAGAGTACAACCTGTCTCCATCATGTACTGAGTCAGAAGCAAATAGGGGTAAAAATGCAGTAAAAATTATATTAATATATCAGTGAAAATCACTGACGACACCATGTGTTCATGAAAAGATACAAATAACCTGCCCTGCGGGCAGAATCCTCCATTCAAACCATTTGTGTACAAACAGTAAAATAGCAAAAGATGCGTAATTCAAAGGAGCAGTGCGCTGAGCATGAACTTCGTGTACAAACGGATACAGATGCAGTGTGTGAGTACACAGCTGTTGTACAGCTGAATGAGCCGACTGCTCGTGTTGACTGCCAGCTGCTGATTGATTCATTGTTACAAATAGTGACTAAAGCACATGTCTATACATTTGTGGTGATGGAATAACATTGTAACATATGTTATATTTGAAATTACACTTACTTATTAAAGTACAAATTCTAATCGTCAGTACACAAAGTCAGCTTGTATACATAAGCCATGAAGAATTGTCATTGATAGCTATCATATACTCAAAAAAAATAGTTAAGGACCATCCCAATTTTCAATATTAAAGTATTGAATACAGTCGAACCATGTTTACACAGACCCCCGTGTATCCAGAAACCCTGCCTTCCGGACGATTTTTAGGTGAAACAAAACTAACCTTTAGTAATTGTACTCGCTTAGCCGGACCCCACGCTTCCGGACCTGGACGGAGAATTTTCAAACCATTTCCATAGATGTTCATTGAAAAATGATCCTGTTATCCGGACGGAAAGGTCTGTGCGCATGTGCATGTGCATGTTTACCACCGACAAAGTGTATTCATTGTTAATCTCTCTCGGCAGGCGTTTGATGTGAAATAATTACCCATCAAAACACAAGGGACATGTGTCACTTCAGTTGTTAATTAGGATTTGGCAGGTGTGAGAACATCTCATCAGTAACGAAAACACATGTTAATTAGGATTAACTACATTGTAATTGTACTGTATATAACGTCTTGTCAATATGCATCATCAATATGTTTTGCTTGTTTGATCCAGGTAACTGGACGCCTAGCTATCCGGACGATTTCCGAGTGTAACCAAAATGTCCGGATAAACGGGGTTCGACTGCAGTTCATATTGTGATCCGTATAATACTTAAATATTGAATATTGGTGTGGTCCTTAACTTGTTTGGTTGAGTATCTTTGAGACCCCGGTTACCCAGACCCCAAATATCCGGAAACCTAGCCTTCTGGTAAATTTTCATTAAAAAAACCCAACAATATCTTATGTTATAAAAGTGACTGTCTATAACGGATATGCGGTTTCCTTTCCCGGACGGTCAATTTTACAAACCAACCAGCTAAATCAACACAAAAGTGACTTACTTATCGGCACGAAGCTTTGATCTTCCGCTGACCGTGTGAAGTGAAGCGCGAGTGTCCCACATGTCTTAACACGAGACAAGGTCTGCTAATCCGGATTAATGACCGATCAGCAGGGTATTGGTGGTGATTAGTAGGCCTATCTGACAAAGAGTGAATTGTAATTGGCAAATCAAAACGACCATGCTGTTTTGGAAGTGGTTTTAAACCAGAAGTGTATGCTCGCTACTGTTTCAACACCTAAGCCTGGATGACAGAAACCTAGATATCCGGATATTCAGTTATCCGGACAATTTACGCTAAAACGAATGTGTCCGGATATCCAGGGTCTCACTGTATATTGTCAGAGGTTTGTTGTTATGCATAATTGGTGACCAGTGATGTCTGTTCCAACAGTTTGTCTATACATGGAATACCAATGACCTTTGACCTTTGACCTTGACCTTGACCTTGATCATGTCCATGGACATCTTGAGGGACATTAGTGCCTACCACTAACACATAGATCACGTTCATCCTTGCTTGTGCCTGTGGACATCTAGTATGACATCAGTGGCTTCCTCTAACAGTCTGTGATCTGCTGATCACAGATCATCTTTGCCCTTATTCTTCTTTGAGGACATCTTGTGGGACATTTGATGTGTTCTCCTCGCTGACCTGTCTGTGAACCTCCGATCACAGATCTGACACTTGTATGGTTTCTCACCAGTATGAATTCGCTTGTGGTCAACAAGAGAATTAGGATGATTGAAACCCTTGTCACAAATGTCACACTTAAAATTCCGCTCGTTTTTGTGATTCCTCAGATGAATCTGCAAATACGCTTTCAGGTAGAACTCTTTTCCGCACAGTTCACACTTAAAGTCCTTCCGTCCTTCATGCCTGAGCATGTGATCCCTTAACATATACTTGGTCTTATAACTCATGCCACAGAGGTCACACATAAACGCTCTCTGTTTGGAGTGAGTCTGCTTATGTGCCTTTAGTTCGGATGGAGAGAAGAAGCTCATAGCGCACTGATCACAGGGATGACTACGCACACGGTCTTTATGCAGCCTTTTATGACTGGCAACACCTGCCTTCGTTCTGAAAATCTTCTTACAAATATCACAAGGAAATCTACCCCTGTCAGCTTTCAGATGGATCTTCTTGATATGATTATTCAGAAAGTTGGATGAGGCGAATTTCCTCGGACACTGATCACATTGAAATCTAAAGTCCTTGTTATGGATTCTTATATGTGTCTCCAAGTAATACTTGTTGAAAAAGGCCATATCGCACATAGTACATTTGAACCTCCTTTCATCAAAGTGATGCTTAATGTGCTGCCGTAGCTGCTCCACAGTCCCGATCGTCTTCTTGCAACATGGGCACGTGTACTCCAACTGCTCTCGTATCAGCAACCCTTTAGGATTGCCCAGATCTACCCCTGCTGCTTCTAGAGCCTCATGCATCATCTTGTGGACATCGAGACTAATCTTGTTCCGGAGAAAAACCTATTACACAAGTCACACAGACCTCCACCAGCTTCATGAGCTTTCATATGGTGTTCCAGTTTACCTGCGTGCTGAAATTTCAATTTACAAATGCTGCATTGAAATTTGGAAGTCCCTGTGTGAAGAGCCATGTGGATTCGAAGCCCCGCCGAGCTGCTGAGGGTCTTGCCACACTTATCGCACATGTGAATATCTGGTTTTATGTGGACAGATTGGATGTGTTTCCTGAAATACTTCTGATCTTTGTACGTTTTGCCGCAGTGTTCACACTTGTAATGCTGTTCCAGTGATTGATGATTCAAGAGAGCAGAGTGTGTAGGAAAGGATGCTTTACAAAAGTCACAAGTATGGGTGTCTTTGTGTTTCAAGATATGCTTCTCCAACATCTTCCTATTGAAACAAAGATCACCACATGTTTCACACTTGACATAGTTCAAAATGTTGATCTTTTCCTCTTCACTGTGGCTCTTTTCATGATATCTCAGACTTCCCATATTTGGGTACTTTTTGCAACAAACTTTACACTCAAATATGCAGCTGTTGTTATGCCGGCTCATATGAATAGCCAAAACAGACCTGGACTTACAGGCCTGAGAACAGATGTCACATATATATTTAAACGCGGTCAGATGATGTCTCACATGAAGTACACACTTTTCCTTGTCAGAAAATGTTTTTAGACAAAGAGTGCATTTAAATATCCCCTAACTATTTCCATTTTAGATGCAATGTTTCTGTTGCTCAGGACTCTTAACTGCAAGTGTTTGTTTTCCTCGTTGTGTTTCTTAAGTTCCTGATGAGTTTGGAAGGCGGCAATGCAAGTCTTGCAGCGGAAGAGATCATGTTCAACACTGAGGTGGTTCTTAATGCTGAGCAGAGATTTAAAGACTTTATCACAGAAGGCACATCGGAAGGAACCCCCAGCTTCAATTGTATACTCAGTTTGGTACATCTGAGGAGCAAAACTACTGTCAGAAGATGCAGTCTCCATCAGTGAACATTCTTCTTCTGTCTCGCTTGTTTTCGGTCCAACGTGACATTGATGATTTTCATCCTCGTGATGAAGGTCACTATCTCCCTCCTGACCTTGACATTTGATAATTTTCTTCTTTAACTTTTCTATCGGTCTCATAAGTTGGGTCATCTTTACACTTGTGTCCTGTGTTATAACCCGTCTCCCTCGTTCTTTTGATGTAACAGCTTTATCTTTTAGTGTTGGTTTATTTGAAGACTTTGACTTTTTCTTATTTGGACTGCACAACTCAGGTTGTATTGCATCCTGTTCATTCTTGGATGGACCAGCCTGATTCTTTGATCCTGAAGACATATTGATGTTAGGTTCCTCTATTTCCCTTTCATCAGCAATGCAGTCAGCTGGAGACTCATACAGATATTTAACTGTGGGTATTCCAGTTCTGGCAGGGCTACCATTTTCACTGGATATGTCAGAATCACAGTCCATATCGGGTTCATACTGGAAGTCACTGTCACAATCATTATCATCACTGACATCATCATCGTGAATCATACCACCATCATCATCATCATCTGAAGCAGTAGGTAACATCTCAACCTCTCCACTTTTATTGGGGCTTTCAGATACACCAAGTCCATGTACAGTAACCGTGTCTGTATCTGGATTTGTTTGGACCTTTGGGTCAGTTTTTGTACCGTCTTTAACACAGGCAGTAACAGCAGCTGCAACTGTTTGAGTCATGTCTTTCTGTTCCCCATCACCATCTCCTCCATCACTGAGGTCAACAGTCACAGCAGACCTATCATCAGGTATTTCTCTTTCAGTATGGGACAAAGTTTCCTTTTCTTTTGGCACTTCAGCAGAAGTTACTGTGGACTCTGAAAGTTCTGCCAACAGGTGCCCCTCCTTATCAGGTGACCTGCAACTTACTGAAGCTCCATCAGCTTGAGTCAGTGGAGGACGTGTGACTATTTCTGCAGTTGTAGAAGTAGGATGACGACTGCAGCTACTGTTTCTCAAGTTTTCATCAGCAGTTGATGTCTTATCACCTGCTACATTACTACAACTCTGATCTTCCTGTGGCAATTTTGCAACACTTGCTTGTTGCTCTTTGTTTGCATTGACAGGAACATTATCCAAGGTATCAGACTGTGGACCACCTAAAGGCAACTCTTGAAGACCATAGCTACCAGCTTCTCCCTGATCTTCAGTACCTTGTGTGTGTATGGGAACATCAGCAGATAACTCAACACCATCTTTCCTGTTGTTTTCTGGATTTATTTTCACATCCTTATTCTTTTCTGCATTTATGCTTTCTTTGACACCTTCAGAGATTCTCACCTTGGTCATTTTTATATTTCCCCGGTCATGAGCTTTCATATGAACATCTAAATGGGTATTCCTCTTGAAAGCTGCCGAGCAAATTGGACACCAGAATTTTCTCTCTGCAAAATGACTCCTGAAATGGTCAATTATTTGTTTGTTATTCTTAAAAGTACTTTCACAGAGTTTACACTTGAGAATATCATTTCCAGGCTCTATATACTCCTTGTACTTTCCTCTTTTGAACTTGAGCTTCACCTCCTTCGGTTCCCCATCTTCAACATGTCTATCATCCATGGATGCATTCTTAGAACCTTCTCCAGAAGCTTCAGGATGAGTTTTTTCGTGATTATACAAAGAATACTTCTTTCTGAAGCATTTTTGACAAAACCTGCACTGATAAGTGTCTTCCAGTAGATGATAGCGGACATGACATTGTACCTTATGTTTTGTCATGAACCACTTGTTACAAATGTTGCATATGAATTCTTTCCCTACAATCTTGTAATGACACCTAGTCGTCAGTCTTGTCTTCGTTTCGGCAGACAGCTTTTGAGACATGTGCGTTGTTTCATGGGACAGAAGCTTTGACGCATACACAAATTTTGCGGGACAAAACTTGCATTCAAACCGTCTCCTAGAGACATGAACTCGTACATGATTCTTGGCTTTCTGCAGTTCAGTAAACTCCGCTTCACAAATCCTGCATGAAAACATGTCTCCCTTTTTAACTACATTTTCCAGGATAGATTTTGCAAGACTACTCAATTTTGCAGTTTCACGTTTTGAATTTGTTTCTGTAGACACTAAATCTTTAGTCAATACAGTGTTATGGACATTTTTGGCTGACTCAGAAGTGTGGGGACTTTCAGCTGACATCTCTCGCTCGTCCTCAGCTGTGGCAAGATCCTGGGCAGGTTCAGATGTCATCAAATCTGTGGAACCTTTAGCCGAGACTGAATAATGATCATTATCAACATGGTCAATGTCATCTTCATCATGAAAAGTATCATTGTCACCATCATCACTGTAATCTCCACCTTCCTGCAACAGATTGTTATTGTCACACAGTGTTTCCTCCGTCTTATGACCAGCCCCAGTTTCCCGAACTGTGTCCTCTGTTCGGTCCAGTTTCTTGGGTCTATTACAATGTATGGCTCTATCTGCCCATGTAGCGTTTTCACCAGATTTTCTATGCTGCACACTGTTATCCCTTTCAATTCTATGCTTCTTTGAATATCTGGAGACTCTTCCACCTCCATTCCGAACAAGCAGGGTTTCATTTTCAAGACGTTCCAGAACAACTTTTGCATTGCACTGAACACTTGGGAAGGCTTTAAGTAGATTTTGTTGAGAGGTTGACTCAGTTGCCTTAACTGGTTGACAGTTCTCTGGATGCAGAATGGCAGGTGACACTTGGTGCTGACTTGAAGTGTTTCTGGACGTAGTCTCCTTGTTGGTGGCTTGTACCAAATCTGAAGCTGAGTGCACAGCATTAAGGAGTGTTTGTGTCTCAGCAATGGACACATTGAGGTTTGTACCTGGCTTCAGGATTCTCATCAGTGCCATGGTGTGATCTCGGATGTGAAGGTTCTGGTGGTCTACCAACTCTTCTTGTGTACCAAACTGTTCTTTACATTCTCCACAACAAACTGACTGTGATGTATTTGCAGGCCCAGGAGTCATGTGTGAAGAATCAACTCCAACATTCTCCTGCAAGTCAGACACATCCTTCCTTCTCGGTGAAGCATCACTTATAGAATTTGAATGTTGCTTTTTTGACATCTTCAGTTTCAATCTCCCTTTTCTCTTCTTGTGACACAGTATGTGAACATGGGCTTTCTGTTTGTTATTGAATGTTTTCTCGCACACTATGCATGAAAAACCCTTTTCATCTTCCACCACAAGCTCTACAGCCTTCACATGGTCTTCAACAAGAACCACATGAGGTGTTGGAGGTTTGTCAGCCGACTCATGAAACTTTTCATGATCTTTCAAACCAGAGCGAGTTGAGAAATCCCGATCACACCGACTGCAGTGAAACTGTCCTGTCTGATGCTTCAGTATATGCTTCTCCATCAAGGATCTGGAACTGAGCTTTTTAGCACAGACCTCACATCTATACTTCTTGCCAACTTTCAAGAAATGTGCCGGTGGTGTATTTTTATTTTTCTTTGGCCTGCCTCTCTTGGTCTTCACATTCTGTGACTCTTCTTCCTCAATACCACCTTGGTTACTGTCGAACCTAATGGTCCCTCTAGTTTTACCTGTTGACAGTTCTTCTGTCTCAACTACCTTCTTTGTTTTGTGGATTCTTGAATGTAGTTTCAGGGCTTTGAAGGAACCAAAACTCTTCTCACAGTTCACACAAGTTAGTTGAGGTTTGGAGATTTGGCTCATCTGGTCTCCCTCGGTCAGAGACACAGGGTCATGATAGCCGCTCATGATTGGAGGTTCTGTGTCCTGCTCCACAGGATCTGCCCCGAAAATGTGAACCTTGAGATGCTCACAGAGAGCAGAGAAGTCCGGGTAAGTCATCCCACATTCATGACAGTCGAAGGAGTTTTGTTCTGAGTGAGTCTTGATGTGCATCTGAAGACACCAGGAGGTGCTGAACTCTCGGAGACAGATGCCACACTCATAGTGGACAGCCTCACAGGAGATCACCTTATGTTTGGATTTGGCTGACATTTTAAAAGTAGTCTATATTCACATCTGAAAAAATAAAAATCAGACCTATATTTTACACAAATACCACAGAACACGAATGAACCATATCAAAAGCACTTGGTAACTGGCAGGTGCAACAACATAATTGATTATACTCAGGGTTCCTGATAAAGGCCGTATTGGCATATGTATGGATAAAAGATATGCACGATACGGTAGGAAATTAATTAGAAAACGTAGGAGATGTTTACCACAGCAGTTGTGTACACTCTTAGAATCATTTACAGACAGAGACATATCAATCTGATTTCAAGCAGTGTCCCATCTTTGAATTTATGTGATAGCGACACATTGGGGTTTCCCTCATCCTGTTCTGGAAATTCAGGTTGCTAAGGAAACCATGTACCGCAGCAAATCATCTCGTTTCTCAAAATTACGCATGTATATGTAAACATACAAAATTATCTGCAGCCCTGATTCTGATAATCACATAATTTTGGTATAGGGCAGACTTTATTAGCAGATTTCTTGTGATAAATATCCCACTAACTGAAACAATTCACTCTCATAAAGTATACTGTACTGTTAAACTAATGTCCTAAATAGTTGCTGAGGACACAAAAATAAAGGAAAAAATTCAGTGTAATACATCTCCCTTCCATCAGAAAACTTCTACAAGTATTTGTTTTAAGCTTAAAGCTGCATTCAGCAAAATTCCAGATCAATGTACCTGGGATATGATGAATTCATCAACCAGCTCAGCAAGCCTGACCATGAGATTCTGCCAGTCACCTAACCACGAGATTCTGCCAGTCACCTGACCACGAGATTCTGCCAGTCACCTGACCACGAGATTCTGCCAGTCACCTCTTACGACAAGCGTGGGTTGCTGAAGACCAGTTCTAACCCAGATCTTCACGGGGTACGACAAGCATGGGTTGCTGAAGACCAGTTCTAACCCGGATCTTCACGGGGTACAACAAGCATGGGTTGCTGAAGACCAGTTCTAACCCGGATCTTCATGGAGCTCTCATTCAGAAATACTGTAAATCACGAAATGTTTGAGTCACGATCTTTTTACGAGTGGCGACAAACAGACGTTTTTGCGTCATGACATTTTTGCGACATTTTTCCCAATTCTTAAAAAATTGCAACTGAAAGATCCACCTAAAGTAAACCAATCACATATTAAAGGTTGCTGCTAATCTTGAACTGAGCTCAGTAGAGTACTTCCGTGTGTATGCAGTCAGTGATGTTTTCCTAAAAACAACACACGATGCACAGGCCAGATAAGCTTAAAACAGTTCAAAGGGATTATATTAATTGGCATGCCTCTATTATATTGTTGGACTCAGGAGCAAAGTATAATGACAATGACATCACCAAAGCTGTTAATCTCGGATAAGTGTGATGAAACCTATCCATTCCCGTTGGATGGTGTTGGCCTACCAAACAGTCTCTAAAGAGTGGCTGCATTGTTGGCGGCAGTCTGGACTATCAGACGTACTGATTGAGAATCTTTTGTTCGAGTATCCGTTGTTTGACATGTGAGTACCAGTAATGTTTGTAATTTGTCTTCCCCCAAGTTGTTGTCATTGCTTAATTGATGTATTGTCTAGATCTGTTGTTGATTATATGAACTAGTGAATAATAAACAGATAATGAAACACGTTATTTGTTGATTGTTTATAGCATTTTACCAGCAAATTGCATCATGACAGTTTTGCAAGCTCAAGTCATTCGCAAATTTCGCAAAAATATCATGAATTTCATGATTTACAGTATACCCAGTACTCTGGATAAAGAGCTCACCAAAGCTCGTGATGTCTTGTAATAGCCCTGTGTCTCTTTTCAGAGATCTTTCAGTCTCATCAGAAAGCAGTGAATGTTCTCTCCGGCTCATGAACTTAAACCCAAAATCAAAATGACTCTTCTGAATGAATGAGTGAGTGACTACAGTTTTACATCGCTTTGGGCAATATTCCAGCAATATCATGGTGGGGGGCAAGAAAGATGGGCTTCACACATTGTACCCATTTGGAGAATCAAACCCATATCTCCGGTGTGACGAGCAAACGCTTTAACCACACTGCTACTTAACCGCCATAGCTAACCACAGCTACGTCAAGAGTCTGACTCATTAGACAAACAATAAGTCAAACTGAAATTTTATTAGCTACAACCAGTGATCAACAGCCATTTCAGACTCTGTCATGCCAATTCTTTATAAAGACATTTGTATTTTGGAGATGATGATGAGACCAAATATGTTTGGAATCATTGTCTTGTCACTGTTAACACTTTCCCTATTCATGTACCTAGCCCTAGTGTCCAAAGCATCTTGACCGAAGAAATTCAGCAAACTCCCTATAGCATTTTTAAAAAATTTGACAGTTTTCTGAAAGAAGATTCCAAACCAAATCTCTGTCAAACTAACAAAATAAATTCTCCAGGGACAGTGGCAGACACTCGTTTAAAACCAAGAAGCAGTTGCCCTCCAAGTTCTGGTTTCAGACTTATCCACTTTTGCAATTCATGCCTTCATGAATTCAATTTGTTATTCATGGTAACTTGAATCGAATATCTACAAATAGTTTTTAAAACAGTGTAACCACTAGGCTATCCCACCGCCCTGTTAGGCTATAAGCGGTATTGACTAAACGTATCGCTTTTTCTTCTTACAAAATATTACCTTGAAATGTTTCAGCCTAAGCCAATACATATTTAATTTATTAAACATAAAGTATTCATGAATAAATATTCGCATTTGTTATCCTATATTCAGTGACACATATCATATCCGTCTCACAGTGTATTCATTTTTGTTTGATTTTTCAAACCATAATATTACTAGGCTCTGGGTTAGAACTGGTCTTCAGTAACCCATGCTTGTCGTATGAGGCAACTAACAGGATTGGGTGGTCAGGCTCGCTGACCTGGATCACATGTCATCGTATCCCAAATGTGTAGAATGATGCTCATGATGTCGATCACTGGATTGTCTGGTCAGACTGGATTATTTACAAACTGCTGCTATAGAGCTGAAATATTGCTGAGTGTGGTGTTAAACAAAAAAAACAACCAACCAATCAACTAAACCCCATCTTGCTAATTATTAACAGCCATACCTACACATTTGAGAGCCATACTGTCAATGGATCTTGTTATTAGAAATGACAAGGACACTTCCAATACTGAACAATAATTGGAAAGAAATACAATGATGGCATTATGATTGAAATGGCTACCTTTTTCAAGAGGTGAGGAGTGAGTGAGTTTAGTTTGACGTCACATAGAGCAATATTCCAGCTATATGGCGGTGGTCTGTAAATAATAGAGTATGGACCAGACAATCCAGTGATCAACAGCATAAGCATCAAAGATTTGTGAGGAAATCAAACCAGGTTAGCATGGGTTTTGGTAATATTTTTTTCAATGACAATCATCCACTGATAGCATTTTCATTGCCTGTTGCGTGAGAGAGTTAGTAAATGTTGCTCAAAGCAGCATCAGCAATTTTGCAGCTATTTGTGAGTAGAAAAACAGATATTTTTGTTATGGGAAAGACTCAATATGCATTAAAAGTGATGACAAAGATCACTAAAACCTTAGTCCACTATCACAGTAAACAGTAAAAAACACACTGACATTCAGAATTAAAATCTACATCTGATTATATGGTTTGACTTCTTTCAAATATGCTAAAATTAAATGATTAGAAATGGTATTGAAAAGTTCAGAAATATTTTGAACAGTATAAAATTGTTACGAATGAGCAAAAAATCAACACATTCCAGCAAGTGCTTGAATTTGTGAATGCTTAAACATTACCATATTTCCTTGATTAAATACCAGGATGTCTTATACTCAGATTTTCTAATGCAAAGTTAAAAATGGGGAGAATTCCATGAATAAGCATCAAATTGAAATTAGCTGTTTGAATTGAGTACAGCGTTTGAAATAATCGGGAGGCCCAGTGCTGGTTAATTGTTATTGTATCGGGCCGGCCGTGAATTTCATATATTAGCAGGTCTTTGTGGCCTTCAGTAAATTATCTGGAAATCATTCATGATCCATCATGTTACGATAACCTACAGTTTCACTTCCTGGTATTTCAGCGCTTTGCACATAGGAATGTCAACACCAGTCTTTAACAAAATAAAAACGTCACTCTGCACCATAGGCTTCGCTTATTCGTTTTGTAGAAACACTGAAACTGTGTACAGTGTAGTCTATTTTGTTTTTATTGGTTTGACTTAACAAAATAGATTCTAAAGCCTGCAGGCGACAGCAAGCCCTGATGGCCAACTGGCAAATTAGAGTATAGCAAACACTGATTGAGGACCAAGTATTTATTCAAGGAATGTGTTTAATCAACTAAATACGGTAATTAAAGTATTGCCGTATATACATCTATCAAAATAAGTGTGCACTGTGACATCTCTAGGAAGTCATATCCATAATTTGGCAATTTCGGGTGTTGGTTCAGTTTTCACTGCAACCACACTGACACATCTGCCAATCATTAACCAATGATTTTCCATCCGAAACAAAAGTAGGTCTATTTTCCTAACTGATACACTGACACGGTATTTGCTAAGAGAGAGTATGTCACCGTCAATATCATGCTTCGTTGTGTTTACAACATGTTAAAACGGGCCGATGCATGTCATTTTGAACTTGGAAGTAAACCCTGTAACCTAGATTTAACAGGACACGCCTCATATTGTAAAATTGATCATTTCGTGCAGTGTTCATGTTGTGTTAACGTACGAACGATTCTGGATAACTGCTGCAATTGTCGTCAAATCAATAATTTGGCAGTTTCAAAAAGTGGATATGCCTTCAAAACGAATCAAACAACTGATTGGAAGAGTCAACATTCAACCTACCATTGCAAATAAAACACCGTATCTGCTGTACTTGTCCTGACAACTCGGCTTTGTTCTTGCGCTCCTTGCATCGTTATAGAATGCGCTCCTATATGCATAAAGCGTACAGTTTCCGCTGGACCCTGACGAGAGCTTTCGCTTTGAGGGGCGATCTAAAAATCTCTAAGTGGAAATATGAGTGAAAACGAATCTCATTTGAATAGACACGTATATGTGCTGTTCACCATTGGTTTTGATATTTTCCCGCAAGCCTGCACATAAACAATCTGTTACAATTTATAATATCCATCCTCGACTTAAATTTTAACACAAGACAGTGTAGAATATATGCATCTTCGACCGGATCTAGTTGTCATGCACCTAAAACTACCTAGAATGATTTTGCGTGTTGCCGCAAGGTTCTGCCTGAAATTAAAAATGTCCTGGCGCCTTTTTTATTCTATTTATGTGTTTATATATATTTTCAAAAAATACACCTCTATTTCAAGCACTTGATGTCAGTCCGCTCCGACCGCTAGTTGACAACAGCCACGTGGTGAGGGTATGAAATAGTTACGCAACAATCTTCATTGAATATTTGAATAAACGCGTGCAGGATTATGTCGCCATTTATTAATTTGAAAGGCCTATTTGTGAGGATGTCGATGGCATGAACTGAAGTGTGTGTTATGGGAGTGGTCGAGGATTTGGGAGTCGTCCGTCGTCCGCGAATGTTCCGCTCAGACAATTATAGACCGTTAACAGGCTTTTCCCCACTTCGTATTAAGTCGGGGTAAAAAACTGTCGCAATCTAAAATGCGAAATCATCTTTATGCGAATGCAGAACCTCAGCCTGTCAGAGAAACATGAAGACAGATGTCGCTGATTACTCCTAGGCCAAATGCAATATTTTCGAATCTAGCCCAACATATATTTATTATTTCAAATGTCTAAACTCGATAACAGTATGCAGCGGTCGCTCCTTCGGGACCATGCAAAATTAATATGACGCCGTCCTATTTGGGCAGCATTTTTA